AGTACTAACATATGTAGTTTATACAGAATAAACTTTCTGGAAATTGATCTTTTCAGTAGTTAAGGTTATGTCTTTATGGACATGACTAATTCAGCTTAGTGTTAACTAAAGCTATGTTTGATTTTTAAATACTGTACAGTTTAATAAATAAATCAAACAAAGCCTCAATGTAGAACAGTCACTGCCAATGTCACTGCCAATATCCCTGCAGATAATGAGAATTTAACAAATGTATTCCAGTGGTCTGCAGATTTTTCTTCTACATACAGCATTTAAAAAACATGTATTAAAACAGACCAGTTTCCAGACTAAACTAATGGAGAAATTACAATTCAGTGCAAAATATTTTAAACTGCATTTCTTTCTAGTATTCCTCAGGTGAAGAAGTGGTTGCATATTATTAAAAATGTAACAAAAGCAGCTAATGCTTTCATAAAGAATATCAAGTTAGGGATCCCCCCCACATCTCTGCCATATTTTGAAAACAAAATAACATTTCCTATAGCCAGCAAGTTTTTGTTTATTTAAATGTTACATATACTATCTCAAGGCACATCTGATGATATATTTATAACACAGTAGGTGTCAAAGTATGTTTAACATATGATTTCTTCAGGATCCCTCCCCTTTCTGTATTCCAAAATGGAGGAACTGAAAGTGCGGTGTCAAGACTGGCGATCCATATTCTATCTTTGGCAAGCTTATACAAGCACTATTGTAAAATGTAATGTAAAAGAACTGTAAACTAGGAACTTCAGTTTATGAAACACCATTCAGCACTGCTTCTTCCTGATTATTTCCATCTTCTTGTACAGTACTTTTCGTTTCTTCAGGATTAGGCTGTGGTTTAGAAGGTTCATCCCCAGAAGCACCAGCTGGTCCATTTATTGCCTTTTCAGAAGGGCCATGTTCTTCAATCACATCTTTTGCCTTTCAAAGAAAAAACACTTTTAAGCACTAGATACAGCAGCATAGGGAACTCACGAGACGGATTGAGCAATCCCTACGCAACGGACCCACTGCAAGTTGAACCAGGATTGGAGTTCTACCATCTCTGGCTCGGACAGGCTCCCTAATAGGAACTGCTCTAGCATATCCGACCAGTGCAGTTCTCTAATCCAGTAACCTCTTGCCAATAGGAAGCAGTACCAGAAAAAGAAGGTGCAAGCAAGTGATGGGGAAAAATCTAGCCCCAAGAAAGTTTCCTTCTAAATTCCAGTAATGTGAAAGGTTAACTTAAGATCCTGGAGGTTTTGTATCCTTTCCAAAGCTAGAATAACTGAATGTTCTTATTGTCTACCTATAAAGATAAAACTCCTTTTCAAATCCTGTGAAATTCCTCACCTTGTCAATACTTTTATACAGTAGAGACCCTTGCCATAAAGTTTCCTGTAGTTAGTTGTGATTTTGCCACTTTTAGTACCACTGAATGCCCCCTCTTGTTGCTGTAGAAAGGTGGAATGCTTGCCCATCTCCCACCTGCACCTGTGGTGGACCAATTCATGGCCCCGTAGGCCAGATCCAGGGCAGGGTTGGCACACAGGGTAAAGGTGCAATCCAGCCCAACCCTGCCCGCCAGATCTGGCTGCTGAGTGACAAGGCATGCTGGTGTGATCTGGTGCAGCAGAGCACGTCATCCAATCCTCAGGGTTCTCCGCAGGTCTGGAAATGGGACAATGGGGGAGCAGTGGCAACATTAAATGCCATGGCTCTGGAAGCTCTTTAAATTGATGCTTCCATTGCTGCCCTGTAAACTGCCAAACCCATGGGCAACCCCATGGGCTGGATTTGGCCCACAGGCCAGAGGGTTAACACTGATCTGTACCATCCACTTTAACTCCTGTAGGCTTGGGCAACTACCTCCATTTCCCATTTTTATATAAACAGGAACATCCCCCTCATGGGGATCCAGGTAATTAGTACTGATGGAGTGCTTTTGAGTGTGATAGGGGTGGGCAAGTTAAACTTGGTGTAGTAAAGTGTGGGAATTAAGCTTTAAAAAGAAAGTTTGTTGTAACGCAGTAAGAGATGAACATCAACTGGTACACACCCTCAGCAGCCTTCACTTGCCATGTTACACAGCTGCCTTTCTACACAAGGTAAGGGTGAGAGACTGAGCATTCCAGCACGAACTTCGTACAGTGGAGAAGGCACACAGAGCAGCAATTAAGTTTCTTCTTTTTCTCTTACCATTTCTTTCTTGTTTTTGGGCAGCATCTCTTTTGGGGAGTTCCTCTGTCTACTCTGAGATTCAGCTCGTGATATATAATCAGCTACTGTGACTGTTTAAGAAAAGAAAAAAGTTACATCACAAAATAGTTTTTCAAACCACTTAATATTTTAAAGCAACCTAATTTGTTATATTTTGGGGCAATTCTCTGCTTTATTTAGGGTCTGTAGTTAGGAAATACCTTTTCTTTTTGTGAAACCCTCTTTATACTTCTGGATACTCAAGCTCATAAGTATCTCAGTGTGTAATATTAATTCTATAGTAAGGATCAACTTCTGTCCTTCACTGAAATCATTCAGCTTCCATTAGTATCAGTGGTAGCTGAGCACACATCTGCATACCGAATGCAGCCTTAAACTACCAGGGTCAAAAGTACTTCTTGTCTGAGATAACACACAACAAGTTAATCTGAAAAGAACTTTCTACTAGGAGGGTCTCATTAGCAGATAAGATACTTTGGACTGGCAAGCTCTTGGAGGCAGTGAAACTTCAGTAAAAAAAAAAATCTCTGGAAACAGAGGAGGGCACCTACCACTCTATTTAAACAGTAATGAAATTTCACACAAGGGTATCCCACCACTGGGATACTGGGGATATAAAAACTACTAAAACAGACATTTGAATAAGAAAGTAGTGTTCAAATCTGTTTTTATGAGGATCCCCTGAACTAAATTCCATTTTCCTTCTATTTTTTTTTATCCAATCTTGCAGTTCAAGTGATGAACCTAAAGGAAGATATAGATTTTGCCAGCTATGTGTTGAATAATATGATCAATAAGTAATTATATCTAGCATTTGACAAGCTATTTTTCTCGCTGTGATAAAATGATATGAAGCTTATAAAAGGGCCCAAAGCAGAATATATGGCAGGGTCCAAAGTACCCACCACAGGGTTGCCATCTTGTAGCACAGGGTCTTTATGGAAAAGCTAGCTCTGGGCCATAACTCTGGAAAAGTCTTTCTATATTCTGCTTTCCAAAAGCAAGGAATGTCTTGTTTGAGGGATGAGAGATATTTATGCATTCTGTGAGTAAAGTATAAAACTACGTTATTACTTTCTTAGCCAAAACCTGCTACTTCCCTCCCCTTTATTTTATTTAAAATTATTTATTTGAACTAAAGTTCATTCTCAACAATAGTGGCAACAAACTACCTTATTCAAATTCTGAAAGATGGGAGAGAAATCAAATTGATTGAAAGCAGGATTTCAGGGGAGTTTGGGGCAATGAGGGGGGGTTAAAGCATTTTTCAGTTGAAGGGATATGCTATTCATAACATTTTTATGGATGATTAAAATCTTATACTTGGGGTTTATAGTTCCCTTTTATAAATATAAAAGACATCTCATTTTAAACAAGTTTTGTCCTTGTTTCTAAGCATGTCAGTTCTTACAGAAATGAGGACTGCTCAGATGTACTGGGCTGTCTGCCTTTGTTCCAAAGAGCAGTAACAATATGTTTTGGGAAGAAGTTATGCATAGAAAAAAAAAGCTTGATCCTTAAAAAACAGGTAAAATGAGAACAAACGTGGGTCTAATTGTGAGCTTAACAGTCTGAAAAGCATCCATTAATAAATTAAAGAGATCCTGTGGATATAGCATCATATGCAATCATGTGTTTTCTAGAATAGGTAGTCTAATAAAGATGAATTGCCTTTTCCAATATTTGAAGTGTTAGTACACACAAAAGAAATGCATCAAGCCACAACACTAAAAAAATGGAAACATGCGATTTCATTTAAAATTTCAATACATGGATGATTTATGATGCCCATAAAAGCGAGGGACTGATGGCATTGCTTAATACAGGCATGTAAGGCAGGCAGACACCATGTCACACTGCTTTGCACTGCAGAGTCTATACTGCTAGTCCATGTCTTCTGCCTTTCCAGTAAAGACAGCCAATAGTGAAAAATTGTTTGAAACTATTTGGTCATGTCACTAAGTGCAGATGCACAGGCATGGGTAAATACAGAACATGACTCAGTTGCATACATGGACTTGATCCTAAACCATTGAAGTCAATGGCACTGACTTTAATGGCAGCTGGATCAGAAACAAACTGTCTTCTTCCAAGTGAAAATTAAAATTAAAGACAATACAAATTAGTTTCATTAGACAGGTTATAAATTAAACATGTTCTCTTGTGGTAAGAATAGCCTTTATCTTGTAGATAGTAGTCTTATTAGTTATGCAGTAACCCTTATTTTTGTAATGCAGCTATATGTATCTAGATATACATAAACAGCAGACACATAACATTCTTTCATGCTCGTGACCCGAAGTTACCCAAAGCTTCACTCAGGTTACCTGGCTGTCTATCTTCTGCCTGACCCCTGAAGCGACGCCTGCGGCTACGATTGCGTCGCTGGGGTTTTTTGTCACTATCATCTGCAATTGCAAAGTTTACCATGAACTATTTCTGAAGAGAAAACTTTTTTCTTTAGCAGTTTAAGGATGGGGTATTTAGATTTACTTTTGCTAGCATGGAAGATGAAATAAAACATTACGAAAGTAGACGGAATTTTGAATTGGAAGCATTCGAAATTGATTATGCAAAATCCTATGCAGTTTGGTATTGATTCAGTAATAAAACACATGCTTAACTCTAAGCATGAATAAGTTTGCTTTACTGAATCAAGCCCCATGTGGATTCTGACCATATAATCAATCAAATATTAAAAATTCTTCCTAGAATATAAACGAGTCGATCATTAGCCTTGTGTCACTGATCGGTATTACAACTTTATTTACCTGTTATCACCTAAAAATAGGTAATTCTTCAATAGGTTACTTAACTTCTGATCCCAGTTGGACTAAGTACAGACAGTCAAACTGCCTGAGGCTGAATCAATTCAACCTTCACAGCTGAGTCTAAGCTGTGTAGATTGAACCAATAAAGCAAGTGAACAGAAATTCACTTTTGACTTCAAAAATGCAGCCAGCTGCTTGCAGTGGCCCAGGCCAGAAGCTGGGGAGTGCTAGAGCATGTCTCCCTGCTCAGATGGAGCAGACAGCTTGAGCCAAAGACAGCCTGCCCACCCTGCAAGGGGGGTTTGCAGGGGAGGTATAAAGCATCCTGGGATGCTGGGGGACAGAGTTCAACTTGAATCTGGAGGGGATCTGGGACAGAACTTCAATAAACCAATTTAACCTAAACCAGATAAGTTTGATACTACACTTATTCAGGTTCATCTTAAATGAGTTTTGTCCATTTTGAAAGCAGTGTATGCACACTGAACTTTTGTTGCGTTACAGATTTAAACAGGTTTCCAATCACTTGTACCAGTGTCATTTCTGTCCCTAGACCTGGGGTTCTCCCAAGTTTCAACAAAGTAACCCTATTCAAGAAAACATGCTAAAATCCCACTGGAAACAATGGGATTATTAAAGGGAAAGTATTTAAACACAAAGTGAATAGAAATGGACTTGAAAGATTACTTAAGAGCTTTCTAATTGAGACCCAAGATTCCAGGAGCTAAAAAAGTAGCAGGGTAATCCAAGAAAATGAAGAGTGCCCCTTTCCTCTTATCAACCTCAGACGAGTACTACAAAGGGGAACCACAACAGAGACTTCCCAGAAAGTCTCTCTCAGCCATATGCATTATGAACAAGGTATAAGATGAGAGAAATCAACAGAGATATCTTATGGCATACAGAAGTTTTCCACCTCCGAAAGAGGAAAAAGTTAGAATAATTCATTGCTTAATTGTTTTAACCAAACACAGATTCTCCACTCCTAAGAAAAAACATTTACATGGCTGATTCAGGTAATCTGTTCTGTGGTTCAGCCACCCAAATGATTACATACCTAAACCATTCTCATTAACAGAAGCAGTGTCAGACTCTGTCATTCCATCCATTAGAACAGCATCTTCATCAGTTCTTCGCCTGCGTGATCGCCTGCGGCGGTTAGCACTGTGATGAGATTCACTGGCATCGGTGTCTACAGTCTGGTCTGATTCTGTGTTATCAAGCAAGCTGTAAGGGTTGCTGTCAGGATCTTTCAGCACTAAATGATCAGATGAGAAAGGTCTAAGACTAACTGAAGTTACATGTATTGAACTCTGACGCTGATTTTATCTACATTTTAAAATATAAACATTTGCAAAGTTATGAAACACATTAAATGCACAGCTATTGTGGTTTTCATGGTGGTTCCCTGGGCTTTTCACTATTCTGAAATTCCAGCCAGATGCATTAAGCATCACAGCAGGCAAATCATGTCAGGATGCAATATGACCCAAATGTAATAATTAAAAACATCTTTTTACAAGTTTCTTTATCAGTCACTATTTAAGTAGTAATTATAAGCCCGCAGGGCCAAATTCTGGCTTCAGACAAAGCACTGCAAAAAAAAAAAACAACAACAAAAAAAACCCATTAGAGAAAAAGTTGTAAACCAAGTCTGTATTCTGCATGCCCTATACACAGTCCTCCTTTCATTCATTATTGCTATTAATATTTGCACAAGTAATTTACAGGAAATGACTAGCATGAGGCAGTATTAGGGGCCATATGCACTAAAGCAGCAGTGCTCAAGCTTTTTGGCCAGTGGGCTGGATGGGTAGTGCCCAATTCCTCTGCGGGCCCCATCTGGCTGTACAGAGGGGGGCAGCTTGGCCCCAATCCAGTTGAGCAGAGAAAGGGGGCTTGGTCCAGCTCCAACCTGGCCCCTTGGGTGGGGGGGCCCAGAACCTAACAGCAGTCCAGCCCCGCAGGGGGAGGAAGTGTGGTCAAGCCCTGCAGGGAAGGAAACATGGCGGGGCCCTAACTTGGCTGTGCTGAGGGAAGGGGACGTGGCCTGGCTCTGTTCCTGCCACACAGGAGCAGGGTTGTGGCCCAGCTCTGATCTGCCCACAGGGTGTGGATTTGTGGCAGTGGGGAAGGGTGGCAGTATTAACTGCCACTGGTTCCCTGCTGCTGAATTTTCAACCTGTGGGGAGCTCTACGGGTCAGGGTCCAAGGCTCCACAGGCTACATTTGGCTCATGGGCTGGAGGTTAAGCACCCCTGCACTAAAGCATTCTGAACATCTCCTTTTACATCAAACCCCAACCAGCATGCTTCTTCTGCAGTAACTGTAGGAAGATGTATAGATCTTGATGGTATGCAAAGACTGGAGAGGATTTCCACCCTACTACATCCTTTCTAGTCTGCATCTATGCATCCATAAATGATGCAATTACATGCTGGTGCCCTTCAAGATTTATAACCATAAACCACACACAAAACAACTCCGCCCCCCACCCTCCCCAATTATTTAAGTGTGGTAGGAGTAGGAGCAAGGGCTTAGGCAAGAGACCCAAGAAAAAAAAAATCCTTAAACTTCTTCAATAGCATGATGCAAATCCTGACATGGCTGTGTTGAAATCCAACTGTAAGGAACTCAAGTTTGATAGCCAGCTTGGCACATACATCCTGGCCTAATTTGGATATATACACACACATCTTCAACTTGTGATTTGGTTAATAAGACGAAGAAATAGAGCCAGGTGTCAATAAGCAAAACTAAACCCAACATGCATTTTAAACACTACCAGAGCTGATGGAGGACTTGCCAGCCCGGGGTCCACCACGTCCACGACCCCCAGAAACACTGCGTCCTCTTCCTCCAGGACGTCTTCTGCTGTCACGCTGGTGTCTGCTCTCCCTGTCATCCTCTCCTGCCAATGACCAGTCACTCAGTTCATCTTTCCTCTCAGACTCTGTTTCAGAGGGATTAGAGAGCTCAGAGTTCGTACCTTTAAACAACATGGAAAAACACACAGATGAACTTTCAATTTGTGGCCATGAAGAGATGAAGATATGTTGTCTATTTGCAGATATTAAAATAGAGCTACTCCTTCAAAGTTGTACCTCCCAGTTGAAGTGTTGTATATAGCATGTCAAGATATTGCAAACCATGCCACATATTTTCCGATTTAGTTACACAATTCACCATATTTAGTAGGATGCTTAATCCATTTAATAAAAGCAATCCATTTAATAAAAACAACATTCTTTCATATAGAACAATAGGTATATAAATCATCAATACAGAGCTCCATAATTCGTGCTGGACTTGCACGGTGGTAGCTCCTTTGAGTCCCCCGTCATCCCGTCCCCCCACATTGATGCCAGATGGCCAGGAGGTGAAAACTGCCGCACATTTAAAACTGCAGCCTGGCCCTCAGGTGTAGACAGCAAGTGGACACATGGTGGGGTGGGGGACACTCCGAAACTAAAAAGCCACCATATACCACACACTTCTGACATGAATTCTAGAGATCCCTAATCATCAGATTTTAGCACAGGAAGCGCTGGATTCATGGGCCTTGGGACTAAATTGAAAAAAATCAGTCCCACCTTTTGAAAAGGTAGTTTTATAATGTTTAAGTGTCAGACTTCGGTTTAACAATCAACAGAAATCAAACAAAATCTGAACCCAGCCATAACAGGAATTTTGACTAACTGCAATCTCTTTTCTGGAAGCTATTCTTCTATTAATTGCATCACCCAGATTAAAAAAAGTTAACATAAACCACTGTTCATATAACATTTATTCTGGAGGATCAAAACGCCTCATTAATTATGTATATACGGATCAGTCACCCAGAACTAAAATGCAATCAATTCTTGGTTGAGACATGGCAGCTGGTCTCAATCAACAGCACTGTATAATCAATTCAATTTTCCTTTTCTTTTTTTAAAATAGAGGTTGACAATTCAGCTCTCCCACTGAAACTACATGAAACATATTAGGACTGTAAAATGTTGGGGAGGGGAGGCGGGCGGCACACTAAAGGAAGCCTGCTGAGCCAAACTAGGACATCCAGGCTTATACACAATGAGTCAGAAACTGAACAGTAGATTGGGTGATTGTTTTTGGAGTTCCTCAGGACCCTTCCCTAAGCTGAAGGGAACTGCAGGGAAGTCTTAGGAGACTGACCTAGTCAATATAAGAACCTCAAAAAAGGAGAAAGGACAGGGAGGCTTCAGACCAAGAGAATGGAAAAAAAAAAAAAAGAAGAACTCAGGCAAAACACTGTTATCTCCACTTACAATTGTTCTGCTTTAGCCTCTGGAGAGTTTACATACGTAATTACATTGTGGCCAGAGACTGTTCATCTGTTTTATTTTGGCTGCAACAGAAACCACGGATGTAAACCTGACACCCAAGAGATGACTTCCCTTGTGTAACTTGAGCTTTCTTCTGAGCTTCTGCGAGATACACAGGCCTTTATCTATTAACCTGGTAGTACAAGAATGTGACTGCTTTTGCAAAAGACAGGTTTCTTTGCAAAGTTCAGTCACGGGGTTTTAATTTCATTTAGTCTATTTAAAACATGCTTTGCAACAGGAATGTAAACATAATCATGCTAATTTGAGCTGCTGTGTTAATAACTAAGCAGTCCCCATCTACAATATTAGCCAAATTCTGCATTTACTCAGCTGTGTGCCATACTATACATAACCAATCTAAAAGCAAACCATTTAAAACAAAAAAAGGACTACATCTGTTGCATACACAGAAGTTTCTGTACCTGCTGCACAGAATAAAAACACTCACCATAACCTGATGTATAATTTGGGCCTCTGCGACCTCTCCCTCTTCCACTATATGACCTAGAGCCTTGTACAGAGGAGAGGGTACTTTCATCCGTGGTGTAGCCCTTTTCCTTTTCAGGAACTCTGGTGGAAGAAGGTCTGAAACCCATGCCAATCTGACGCAGTTGTTCATCAATCTGAAGCCTCTCCAACCTTAACTGTTCTACTTCCTACATTGAAAAGAGATATTATGCATATACCACATTGATGCTGGATCCAAACGAATCATCATTATTTCTGCAAAAGGTGGGAAACCCCAACACTTTATGCCTTTAACCACCATCTTGTCATTCAAAAAATTAAGGACTGCTTTTGTAGGTTCAACACACTCCTCATCTGGAAACAAGGAGCATTGTTAGGCTGTAAAAGTGCTGTCTGACTTGCACTTGGAAAGAGTTCAAGCCACCTCTACATTCCCATTCCTATCTGAAAAAATACCTGTAATAAAAGATTTTGTTTGATACCTGCAACATCATAACAAATAAAATCACATAAGGCCAATAATCATGTAAAACAGAAGGAAGAGGTGAGCTTTCCTCCATTTTGAAATCACTCTCACCTCAATGGACTTAGCAGTGCTTTCCAACTGAATTATTTCCTTCACAGTTCTGGAAGGATTTCCTAAGAGGAGCCACTTTTAAAGTTCTCGTGTTAACAGAAGAATTAATTCTCTCCTAGTTATTTTATTAGATTGTTTAACAATTTTTCAGATCTCTGGTTTCCAGTTAATAAAACATTAATTTATTGGACAGCAGCGTGAAATGCAGACATGTAGCAATGCATTCCCTTTTTTTATACTTCACAAGTCCGCATAGTCTTGTATCATGCAGCATTAAAACTGAGCTATCAAGTTAGGATTTGCACAAATTTAGGTTGAACATAAAATATTGGGCATCTCCAGCCCCACACCTCTATTACACTACAGTGAAGTAGGAGATGACATTTTATTTCTTGTAATTACAGGCCAATGTAATGTGCATGCAACGGAGAGAGCTGAGGGAACTCATACAACCTTAAAACCTGATCCTGACCATCTGCATCTCCCAATTAAGTCAAAATGTACAAATAGATAATTTCTTTTAATAACTTTTTCCAAAACATAAAATTAAATACTTACCTTCAGATAGGCAATGTGGTATTCTAAAAGAACCTGAACATTTCCAATGCTTTCTTTAGTGCCAACAAATACAAACGGGACCATTCCCTGTAAAAATGAAACTTCATAATCTCATGTCCTTAAGAAGGGCAAAATTAGCAAGACCTCAATGTTAATCATTACACAAATGATTAAGTTACATGAATAAATGTCTTAATCTAAAGACTGCAGCCCAAATCCTGGGCTGTTAAAAATCCACTAGATACAGATCAAAAAACAAGAGGTTAAACTGACTTCAAGGTGTTTTCACTTCTGTGAATTGAGACAAATAACTAAGATCATCCTACTGCCTACAGCCCCAGTAAACAGCAACAGAGGACTGATGAGGCACAGCAATGCCTAGTCCACAGTGTTTTCCCCTAGCTGTGCCGACCGCATGGATGGCCTGCATACAGGCTGCTATAGTGGCTCTATGCCACTCACAAATTCCTCTATAAAGGAAGATTCATCTATTGGATAATTAAGGCAGCTTTAAAATACAGGACAGCTTTAGAGGATCAACAGTGAGTAACAATATAACTATATATGAAATAACTATCCCATACCAACCCAAGGGATCATGCAACTCTCTGCAAGTTTCAGCTATATTAATAGAGTGGTCTGGAATTTTTGCTGGCTCCAAAACTATTTATTAAAAATACAACTTTGTGATATTAAAAAGAAAGGTTAAAGAGTTGAAAGAAAGAAGAACTTACATCTTCCCTGGGCAGTTTGTTTTCATTGTCACCTTCAATTCTCACCCTGACGACTCCAGACTTGTCTACTATCTCCTGAATCACTTTTCCATTTTTTCCAATAACTTTTCCTTTAGTGGACAAGAAAGATTAATTCTGAATCACTGGTCCGAACTTTCTCTTTAATACGGTCTCTTCATTTTCTCCAAGTTACACCTAATAAAGCAGTACTAGTAACACAATAATAAATGAATGCTCTGCGAGTCAGATTTCTATTGCCTTGTAATGTATCAGTTTTTCATTATTTTGCAGGAGGGCAAAATATAAACAAGGGGGGTGGGAAATCAAGCCTATACTTTCCAAATTATTTCTGACATATCTGTGCAGAGAACAGTTGTTCTTAAATGCAAATTAGGATTAGGTTTAAATACAAAGTAGAATCAGGGCTAGGATTTAGTGGCAAAAAAAAAAAAAACACTGAGTAAGCTCTTCTTTCTTTATTTGGTACATCTGAACGGGAAGATAAGTACATCCCAAACATTTTATTTTAATTTGGGGTTGTAATCCAAAGGGCAATGTGAATCCAGGGATTCGAATTCAACCTTTCCTGAAACTTGAAGCTAGTATTCACTATGCTTATTTTGGCCTCTCTGTTACAAGAATGAACCAATTAACACGACTACCAAGAACTGAATACATGCTCTCTAATCAAAATTAGATTCTTTAGCAGGTTTTCAGATCTCTTGTTTCCAGCTAACATAACATTAATTTATGCAGTGTGAAAGTCAGACATATGGCAATGTATTCATTTTGTTTATGTTTCACAAGTCTGTATAGGTCAGCTGGCATCCATACATCTTTAAATACAAAATCCTGTGTGTCACAGCATTATGACTGAACCATCAAGTTAGGAGTTGCAAAAAATTAGGGTTGTGGCACATGCACATGGCATAAATCAGCACAAATAAATACATGACACACAATACATATGACTGTGTAACTGACTTTACTTTTGAGCGTCCGTCAATAACATTACATGTGCCAACATCATTGGTATATTTATTTTTAGATGTGTGCTGGGCCTTTCTGGAAAGCAGACAAACAAACAGTATCCTCCATGTGCAGAATACATATTTTTAACCCTCTTTTATACCTTCAGCCAGTGACTACCATCAATCTTTCTTAATCAGAAAGCTTTGGTCTTCTCAAATCTCAAGTTAATGGAAGCTATGCTTTTATAGTTATATGGCAGTTACCCACTGGTTACTGATACAGATAGCTGCACCCAAAACACTTCTATCTGGAGTATAGGGAAAGGAATATGGAAGGCTAAAAATACAATCTTGCACTACAGAAACTTCCATAAAGGGAAAAAATCAGATGATAACATGATACCAGGAAAACAAGATGCAAAAGAGCCTTAAGAATTTTATTCTCTTCCCTTGATGGCTCAGATACCTCAGTGGTTTATGCCAAGTTTTGCTTTTAAATGGAAAAATGCCTTTCAGAAACAGGTCTACAATCCTACAGCCTTGCATGGTCATCTTGTCAGATTATTTATGTTCAAATGTGTTAGTCAGTACTTCCACAGACCCCCCCGCCCCAAATACCCACATGTTGTAACAACTGAAACTGGAAATTCGGTAGGTGGCACTCTTCTCTCTTAGTATGGCACCACCACCATAGTTTTGTGCCTTGTGGCATAGGCACTGTATTTTGCAAGATGTCTTCTATCAGAGGAGATATACAAATGAAGTCCTGAATACTAATGATCAGTGTACTTCCAAAATGTAGTTTAAACCCAGTTGATTCAAATTGAACCAGTTACAGTCTCACTTCTAAAGCAGTAGATTTAGGTAAGATGTCATCATTAGTTATGCACCAATATATAGGTACTGCCTTCCATCCTAACTTGGGCGTATTTCTGTGGTCAGTATAATGAACTGTCCCCTCTCCGTTTGCCACCAGCTCCATCCTGCCTGTACACAAGCAAAGGCATAGTATAGACAGCCCAGTTGCCAGGTCTGGTGCTTCAGCAGAATGAACTACCTACAGCTACGGCTGAGGAGAAAGTGCTGCTGAGCTCCTGCCACCTCAGGGCAATGGATCTTTGGGTAATTCAGCTGCCAAATACCAAAAAGTGCTAAATTTTGCAAAATGAGATTTTTTTCAAAGGCTTTATAGCTTGACCATGTTTGGGTTCAGCTGTCCTTTGAGATGTTATAATAAGAATATAACAAGCCCCCAATACATATAGTTTTTGAAGTTTAGACAGTTTCTGGACAAAATGAGCAAGTGCCCAGTACTGTGATCTCAATGATTTTTGCATTCAGATTAAACAGGCTTCCTTTCCCCAGGTTTTCAAGTGTTTTAAATATTTAGCAGCATTACATACCAACAAGATTTCTGGGGACTTGAATAAAATCCTCCACAAATTCCAAGTAACTTCTAGCCTTTTTTACTGCCTCAGCGCTCTGAAAATGGACAAAAAACAAAAAAATGTTTATTTGTTAAATCAATTTTATAAATAAAATCCTGTTCCAAAAGCTGGAAACTTTCAAAACAACTTATTTTCAAAATGAAGGAGGAATGAGATACAAATAGGGATGCACCGATAAAAATTTTCTGGGCTGATACCGATAACTGATTATTGACCAGCCATATTGGCCAATACCAATCCAACTGCTGATACGCAGCTCGGCAGCTTGGAGAGCAGCATCCAGCCATTAAGTCTGCACCCGGGGTGCACAGCAGCGAGAGGTGCCCCACCAAACAAGCCATGCACCGCTCCATCCCATACCGCACCCCTGCTGTGCCACACTTGCCTCTGACCCTGCCCCATTCCCTCCCTCACCGTAGGGGCCTCTCTCCCACCGCCCCCGGACGCTGCTCTCCAGGCTACCTGGCAGCGTGCATGCTGTCGCTGTGCACATGTACGCGGCATTTATCAGCGACATTATTGGCCATATCAGCCAAAAAGAGCCGAATGCCGATAATGCCAATTTTCTGTTTATCGGTGCTGATAAAGTACAGACTGATGTATCGATGCACCTCTAGATATAAATTAATTTAGGTTTGAAAGAAATAGAGAAATAACATAGGTAAAATGATTAAGAATTAAACACATTTGCAAAGCAAAAGCATGCACAGTGAAAAAATTGTTTTAAAATAGCATGAATAAAATTATCTTGTGCAATTTACAATTGTAATCTAGTAGTAAAACTATTTAAAATGTCCCCTTCATATCTAGCTTGTAATCACGGACTGGAAAGACTTTTTCACATTATGTCAAAACACAGTATACTTGTGAAGCAGTATCAATATAACATCACAGAGACTCAGTGATTTTTTTTTTAAATCTGTAACTAGTTCTTATTAACACTCAAGAAAATGCTAATATTGTCCTAGATACCAAAATATTAATTTAAAGTTGTTTGTTATAAATTTTTAATTCTTCCCCTTGTATTGTCTGAACATTGAAGCAAGCAGGATTTTTATGTTAAAACACTATGTAATCCTATAATTGTAAATAAATGATTACATAAACATGATTAAAATTGCATGGACTGTAAGGTGGATAGAAAACTGGCTAGATCGTCTCGTTTGCAGCCAGTATCAAGTGGGCTGCCCCAGAGGTCAGCCCAGGTGCCGGTGTTTTGTTCGGTATCTTTATCAATGATCTGCAACATTTGTGGGGGGGGGGGGGGGGGGGGGGG